AAAAGCGGGTTATTGCAGTTTCTGCTTGGCTCCTAGCTCTAATCGGTCTAATAGTGTCGCTCGCGTTTGTTACAAAAGATTTTATAGAGAGCAAGAATGAGATGGCAAGCACAGTACGGTTTTTTCAGTCTGAAACGATGAATATGCCTCCGCTGTGGATATGTACTATGGATACTTCGCTCCCAAATTTCGGAAAGAATCTTGGAAAGCAGTTTCCAGGCCAGCCATTACTCTGGATAGACTTTTTCAAAGGATCTAGATCTCTGCTGAACATTACTTATCCTTATACACATGAGATGCCACAACTGGGCACCGTTCATGTGAATGCGTTGGGGCAACCATGTTCACCTCCAACCGTTATGAATCCCTCAATTTTTGAAGAAGAAAACAAAATTGCACCAAATTGCTTCCATTGCTTTTCTCTCGATGGCACTCCCAGAATTGTGTTTGAAAGATCTCATCATGAGGATGAACATGACCACGAAGCAGGCACAGCTTCTAAAATGCATGCTACAATTCGAATGGCTAGGCACTCTGTCTTCTCAAAATGCAGGATGTCGCAGATGGGGCTTTCAAGAGATGCCTTCGCCTTTTTCACAGGCCAGATCAAGACACACCATCAAGAACTGAAAGCTAGAGGAATATTAGATTTTGGAGTCTTCGACCCGACAAATGGGTTTCACAACCAATACCTATGGCCTCTTTATAGGATGGGATTCGGGAATGCTACAGTTGATTTTGCAGTCTATGATGTTGTCGATATGTTATGCAATGTGTACTTGTTTTCCGACTATTTCTATCCCTCGTCGGCAAAGGCTGTGAGGTACAAATTTAATGACAAGTACTACAGGTGGGAGAGAACTGGTGAGGGCCCTTACTACCCAAGCAAATTTGATGAATATTACAGTGGAGTCTCTTCCAGACCGGCTCTGTATTCAGAGCTAGGGGCGATTGGAACTGAAAAATATGAGAATCGATCCATGTATGCTGGTCAGTCTCTACACATCGTGACTAATCGCAGTATGGTAGACAAGGCGGATGTCGTTGCTAGTCTGGAGCCATTTCATATGGCAAGTCTTCGATTCACGAGAAACATGATTCATGAAACTGAGTCATATGAAGCTAAAGTCTCCCGGACGATTCTTCAAACGGGAGACGTTCGGGCCGTGCATTATGTCTATTTCATGGATGTTAGTTTCGAAAATTTCATGACCAGAGTTGTGTCCAAGCAGCTCACGGTTTCGTGGTCAGCGTTCGCAGCCGATTTCTTCGGACTTACATCACTGTTCTTAGATGTTTCTGTGTACACATTAATTGTTGCCCCCTTGATTATGAGAGCAAGAAAGAAAGCACTCATCGCTCGAAAAAATAAGGTTCAAGCACGCCATGTCGTTTAGACACTAAACTTTTGATTCGGCAAGCCAAGCATGACAATTTCCAAGTGTCATAGAATTTTGAGCAGACATGGGAGTAGCTTTTTGCCGCTACTCAATTCAGGGGTCTCGAGATGGAAACACTGACGAAAAAAACAAGGCTGATACATCTCTGTCAGTAAGCCTCATTGTTGTGAGGCGGCCGATACCCCGTGCGAGAAAATTCCTAGTAGAGCAATTCCCTTATTGATAATGTTGTCAAATTTGAATGGGACATTTCGGGAGATGTAAAAACATGCGGCACTGAATGCACATAAACTTAGTTTATCCAACAGTTCAAGTTGAGTGTTCAAATTGAGTTTTATGCAAAGGACGGTTTGAGGGAATGTGCTAAAGCATAATCCCTCTGCTAGAGCACATTCCCTCAAGCTGTTTATTGCTTTACTTCGGCGCATCCTTGAAAATTTTTTTAGTCGAACGTTTGTGATTGTGCAAGAATCGGCAAAACATAATGCTACAATTGGTCTTGGTATATGATTGGTGGATTGAAAAGGGAGCTTGACATTATCAAAACCAGTACTTGTTCCTTAGACTTTCATTTCGCATCGCGGAGGTCACTATGTTTCTTCAGAGAATATTTTCATATTTCGTATTGGCGTTTGTTGAGATATGGGCAGATGTAAAGTTCTGATTTCACGCGGTTTATCCGGGAAAGCGCATAAACCAGAAAATATCCTGGGTCTAGCGCAAACACAGATGACAGAAGACGAGCGTTTCCTATATCAAGATTCATAAGAAGCGTTACTCAGTCTTGGATAATGAAACGGAAGGCTTTGAAGATGTGCTTACGAGCCACAAAGTACGTAGTTCAATGCGAACTGTTTGTCGTATAGTTTCTAGAATTGATTGTTTGGAATCTGTTCCATGTTTGAACTACCGGTGCTACAGTATACAATTTCAGTGATTGCCTCAGAGTATCCTGCTTTTGGAGACCTATCGCTTTTCAAATCAAGATCTTGGTAGATCTTGAGAAGGAAGAACTTTTTACTTGCATCGTGTATGTAGTCGTTTCACATGACATGAAGCATGATTATAGATATGATGATTAGAGATAGAGAGATAGTTATCGCCTCCTGTACTGCACATGGCGAATTTCAATTTTTTAAGTCTTCTCTTGCGGGATTGGCGCTTTCGCTTACAACCCAGATCAACAAGGGGTTTTATACATAGCACATCGCCATAGATTTCAGATCGTTTGCCGCGAAAGGGGATATGGAAACGACGCAAGATGGCACACTGCCATCCGAACACAAATATTGCAGTGATGGCATTATAAAGTGTCTCAGCTTGTGGTTTGGGGTTTCTCACTAGACATGTGTCTGTTGCGAGTGTGGACTGTGCACACCCTAATTAATAATGATGCGCAAAAAGTGCAGTGTGAGTGGTTGATATATGTCTCAAACGATATACCTCTCTGAAGTGTCTTCCAATATTCTTTCGCAAGTGCACACGCGCGATTTCTTCGACATATGAATTCGAGATAAAACTAGGGCACCAAGGGCAGTGGACACCATCTGAGTTCGGCTGATCATGGTTGGACAGTGTGACGAGAGATTAATGTGCGCGCGGGCAAAAGACGCGCGATAGATAGATATTGATATCCGCTCAACGACTGCCCAGGGACCCACGAGAGTGCATGAAACAATTACTTGATCTGTTCGATGGGCAAATTTGGGACTAGCGCCTGCTTCTATTGAGTTTTAACTCTTAAGACGGACGCACAGAAAGGAAGTACAACAACTAATGGAAGTCGCGAGATTGGCTTGGAGGATTTTGAGGACGTTTTCCCAGACTCGTAGCGATGTGTGTTCCGAAAGAGGAAAAGTTCCGGCACGAGACAATTGAAGGGACGAAACTGCAAAGTACTGAGATGCTTTGTAAATGCAGGGAGTTAGTGAAAGCAGTATCGAGTGCGATTCGAGTGATAGAACTGAGCGAGGTATTTGTACGAAATGCGTTTGTGAGGAAAGTATGAAACAGAGGGCGCAGTTGCGAATTCGGCGGTTGGCGGAAGATTGCGAATGTCCATCCAATAGAGGAGAGGGAGGTGAAAATACGGCGATAGCAATTGGCTAGCTGCTCATGAGTCGGGAGATCATTTGAAACGTGTAAGGGTCACGTTGTCTCGACGTGCGAAGAAATGTGTGGCACATGGCCACACATTACTGAGCGCAATTTCAGGACACACCCAACTGCTCCTCGTCAGCACCGGCCGTAAAACGGAAAACAGTCCCCAAAGGTCCTCTCGGTCGCCGGCCGACGCTGAGGTTTCTAACCTCAAAATAAACACTTACATATCTCCTTGTCCACTCCCTTCATTTCCGTCTTTGCCGCCCCACCCATATCTTGTCCTCTTTTCGCTTTTGTTACCGTCAACACCGGTTTCAACACCCAAGAGTCCACTTGACTCATTTCTCTCCGTCTTTGCAATTACTTCCTACCGCCCCATCCTTTTTCGCCATCATGTGCGGAATTGTCGTTGCTCTAGGCCTCCAACGCCCCCGCTCCGAAATTGAAAAGATAATCACTGCATGCGCAAAGAAGATTGAGCACCGAGGTCCCGACGAACTCAAGACCTTTGTCTCCGACGATGGATGGTGTGCTCTCGGGTTTACCCGTCTTGCCATTTGTGACCCGGTTGATGGACACCAACCTATGCACACTAGTGATGAGTCCATCTACGCCGTCACCAATGGTGAAATTTACAACCACGAAGACCTTCACCATACCCATCTTGACGACATGCCGTTGGCCTCTCATTCTGATTGCGAGGTCATTGCACCTCTCTACCAAAAGTATGCCACCTCAATGTTCCCTTTCGCTATCGAACACGTTTACAACCTCCTCAAAGGGGTCTTTGCAACTGTCGTCGTTGACCTGAAGCGCAACCAATTCATCGCCGCAAGAGATCCTATCGGAATCAGGGCGATGTTCATGGGCAAGAGTGATGATGGTGCCATTTGGTTTGCCTCAGAGGCAAAGTCTCTGCTCGAACACTGTTCAAGCATTGAGCCCTTCATGCCGGGTTCCTATTATGCCGCGTCTCGAGGCGCGGAGCTGGCTTCTTCTTATCAAAAGTACTACAAACCCTTCTATATGGAACCAGGATGGCTACCCTCCCGCAAAGTTGACTCGAAGAAGTTACATGATTCCTTCGTCACCTCTGTTCGCCGTCGTTTGATGTCGGATGTCCCCATCGGTGTCTTCATCTCTGGAGGCCTCGACTCCTCTTTGGTTGCTAGCATCGCGAAGAAACATCTTCCAGGAGCATATGAGTTCCACTCCTTTTCATGTGGTCTAGAGGGCTCCCCAGACGTTGCTGCCGCCCAAAAGGTTGCCGATTACCTCGGCACAAAGCATCATGTCCTCACCTTCACGGTTGAGGACGGTATCAATGCGCTCGAAAAAGTCATCTACCACTTGGAGACATATGATATCACTACTATTCGCGCTTCCACCCCAATGTTCTTGCTCTCCAAGGTTTGCAAAAAGTATGTCAAGGTCGTCCTCAGTGGCGAAGGTGCTGACGAAGTATTCGGTGGCTACTTGTATTTCCACAACGCTCCTTCAGAACTCGATTTCCATGAAGAGACGGTTCGCCGAGTCAAGCTCTTGTACACTGCCGATGTTCTACGCGGAGACAGGTCCACAGCTGCCCAGAGCTTGGAGCTTAGAGTGCCGTTCCTTGATCGCGACTTTTTGGACGAAGCAATGTCGTTCTCAGCTGGTGACAAGGTCACTGGAAAAGGAAAGCGCATTGAAAAGCTGGCCATTCGTCGGGCATTCACAAAGGAAGAGAGCGGAATTGAATATCTACCTGACGAGATTTTGATGCGGCCGAAGGAACAGTTCTCAGATGGCGTTGGTTATAACTGGATTGATGGCCTTAAGGACCATTGCGCTAAGGTGGTGTCGGATGATCAACTAACAGAGGCTGCGAAACTATTCCCACATGACCCGCCGACTACAAAGGAAGGATACTACTACAGGCAGTTGTTTGAGAAGATATTTGGCGGGTACGAAGGCGCTCAGGGACTTCGTGATGGCATTCGTAAATGGATTCCTCTATGGTCTGAGTCAGATGATCCGAGCGGTCGCGCTCAAAGATTCCATTCCGCTGCTTATTCACAAATATCCAACGGTGATTTGCCGAACTAGATTCAGTCGGCCAGCTAAAAATCGGAATGACTGATTTTCTAGAGTCCGTAGTTGGAGGAACTTTTGTCACTCACATCTCTATTCCGAAGGCATTAGAAGTGACGAACGTGGGAGGAAGCGACAGTCAAATTTCTGTTTCGGAATGACGCGATTAAGTCAAGACACGAGGTCGAACAGACGAAAATAGCTGAGTCTTTGAAACAACTGCTACTAAAGAGCGAGTGCTTTCGCGGAAGAGGGAATTTTCATGTGTTCATGCCTATTTTGATGTTGCTACTGCGGTGCTTTTCGAAGAAGCATATAGAATGGGACAGCTGCATACAACATGCGTCATCAACGCGCATCTGTTGATATCAACCTGTCCCCCAACACTGTATGATATTATGGCATGAGGTATCGTTATTTTTGATGAAGGCGACATATTTCCTTCCCGGAGCTCAGGAATATTCGCAACTAGTTGTCTCTGCTGAGAAAACGATGCCCTCGCTCGACGGGTGCAGTTCAACCATCGGCATCATATTTGTCTGGCGAACAAGGATGAGTTGAGTCCCCAAAATCTCTGCAGCCTTTCGGTCCAACAGAGAATGATATTGGCCCTGACTTTCATCGAACGACATCCAATGCTCGGTCAGCCTTTTCCAGTGAGATAGATATGGCCTTGACTTTCACATGTTATTCAAGGAATGACTCTTCATCCCTGCGCCTCGTCCTTCCGGGCAAACCCCGGGGCATCTCTGGTACTCCTCCAGTTTGGACACGTTGACCTGCATATGGTGAAGGGGGTTTCTTCCTGTCGTTTTGCTGTCATCCGCAGTTAGTCAGACCATTGGGCCCTGATTACGGGCTTTATTCCAATTCGTGTCCTCAGGCTTATGTTCCAGTATATGCAGCTCACGGGTGCAATTGTTATTCATAGTGCTGATAATGCCCCTGTAGTGCGGAGTGTATCCTGACGAACAAACGTCTTTTGACCGTCGGCATGGGACCCATATTTCGGTACCAAGCAACGCAGCCCGAAAGCATCTGTTATTCCAATTCTTTCGATTTTGCTCTCAACTGCAACTGCAGTCATTGTAAACACCAGCTCCTTCTACCGTTACTGTCCCCCACCAACTTCACTTGCACACTTGCAAGACCTGCACCTCTGCCCATTCATTCCTGACAGCCCCAGGCCGAACGACGCCCGGGGCTGTGCATTTTCAATCCGGACGCGTGGAAATCTCTGTCTTTCGATATGTCGTGGAGCAACTTGCTCCTACGATTGCTGCTTGTAGCGACGTTGTGCTGCTCGGTGCTCTCTAGGGGAAATGTAAGTGCTGATAAGGCACATGCAGGGGGCTCTTCCGATGCAAAGAGCATTGCGAGCACTGCAATCGAAGATAACCTTGAAATGCGAACACTAAGGATGGACTTGGCCGATAGCGAATCCGAGCTGGAAGTTAGTGCATCTCCAATTGCGGTTGAAGGCATTCTTGTTCCTGAGACCCCCGCATCTGAGGATGACGAAGGCAACATCTCTAACACAATTCCCCCGTTTAATCCGACATTTACCGGACCAGTTGCGACTGCAACGGCGACGCCAGCTCTTTCAAACACTATTTCGTTTTCGACTGTCGGAATCGATGACTTGCCTATGGCAACGGAAGGCGAAAGCAGTTTTACATCAATCAATGAGACAGAGGGCCCTTCTGAGGATGAGAGGCAGGACGAGGAAAACCCTGTGATAAGCACCGCGCCAATAAGCCAAGACAGCGTGGACGAGGAAAACCCTGTGATAAGCACCGCGCCAATAAGCCAAGACAGCATGGACGAGGAAAACCCTGTGATAAGCACCGCGCCAATAAGCCAAGACAGCATGGACGAGGAGAGTCAAGGCAGTCCCACTGCAGTCAATGGCTCTGTTCTGCCTGCAAAAGATGCGGAGGACGAAGGTAAGGGAATTGGGTCAGATTATTCGGTCTTCACGGAGGCGACTGACGCTGAACATACCAAACCTCTTGACAGTGCATCTGATGTCCAGTCAACCGCGGACTCAGAAACGCCTTCAAACCTAGGATCATCTTTATTGGACGGGTTGTCATCCTTGATTCCGAAAAGTCCCGGACGGCCATCCGGAGATCTTGTCGTCGACAATCCGATGGAATCGGGTGCAAACGCTAAGGCTAGTCCTGACCCGCCAACATCTGAAGGCGAAGAGTCGAATTCAGCCTCCAAAGATGATGTGAAACTATTTGAGGCGAAGATGCCCGCCTCAAGTACAGAGCCATATACCGCACCAGCCGTAGAACCCGACTCAAAGCCTAAGGTCACTTTTCCTGTTCCTGATAAGCACGGGAATAGGGACGACACGAAAGCCCCTGAAGATGATAGTCTCGACGAGTACGATGCAATTCCTATAACTTCTCTTAATTTCACAGGTGAGCCTGAAAATGATGAACGCCCCGAAGCCAGCAGTACCTGGAGTGAGAGTCTCACTGCGTTTGATAGTCTCGCAGACGCCATCTCGCCAGTAGATATCGAGCCGATTATGCCGTCTGAGGAACCAGTCCCTACGTTTGGACCCATTGTTCTTCAAGACGTGGAGCCTGCTCAAATTCAAAACTCCGAAGACGAGGGCGATATTTTGACCCCGTCCCCTTCCTTGGATGGATTTTTTGACTCTTTCGACATCACCCTCGGAATGCCTGAAAACACGGAACAGCCAGAAGCATCCGAGAACCCTTTTGAGATTGTCTTTTCGCCTCCAAAACTTGCTGATGAGTCACCAGTGGTCTCCACTGAAGCGGAGATAGAGCCATCTGTTGCCCCAGAAGATTTGCTTATCGAACTGTTCGTCAACCATCCGGTTGACTTTTCCCCAAAAGTACTAGCTGAGGATATCCGTGATATTTCGAATGAGTTTATTGAACCGGAGGATTGGGATATAGGCCATGTCATCCCCCTTTCCGAATTCTCGAAGTTCTCATCGCTATCCCCCGCTGTTCGTCAATCAGAGAATAATGAGGACAGGAAGACGTTTGAGGTAGTGCTAGAAGCCGTCTGTACCTCCAGCTTTGATTGCAATGGCGTGACTGATAGCTATCACACTTTTGTGCGTAACCAAAGCATGGATAAGGCACTTGCTTCTCATGATTTCGGGCAAGTGAATGTGTACGTGAAAGGTGACAAGATGAAGGAAAGGGCCGAACCTACGAAAGTGGAGGCAGGGGTTGGGTTAGGGGCCGGGGTTATCGCGGGCATCGTAGTAGGTGCCATTGCTGTGGTATCTGTACTGTTGCTTGGTGTTGTTCTTATGCTAAAGCGCAGAGGCGGGCAGGACCGGGGCTTTGATCGCGAGGACGATTTCGGCAATGAGGTTGAAGATGGATATTCTCAAAGTAATCGGCAGGACCCCCAGGATGGCGGTTCATTCCTCATCAGCAATTTTGGCGGTAGTATACGCAATGCATCGGACATGGTTCCTTGGACGAGTAACTCTGAAAGGTCTGCTAGCGGCCAAGGGGAGCTGAATGAAGACTCTTTCATTTCTATTAACACAGACGCGTCAGGGGATTCAGGGAACAGCCACCCGTCTGGGTATCAATACGGTGAGACCACGTCGTCCTCATCTGGTTCAGAGATGGGGCATGTGGACGTTGATAACCGGGCTTCCAACTGAGGCGAATGAGTTTTTGGCAGTTGATCAACTTTTGTATATTCATAACAAGGCGTTCTCGCCCTCACAGTTAAGGTCAAGAGATGTACACTAGGTCCTTCGCCGTAATCGCAATGGTTGAGAAATGACATAAAGCATAACATGATTATTTAATTTCTGAAGAGAGTGTGCCTGGTGAGTGACAGCATCGTACACCGCTTTCTTTACGTTGTAAGTGGCCCTGCACGTCATGAGACGGGCAAGTTGTGTGGATTCGAAGGTGCCTTTTCCAATGTAACTGAACGTTGTTAGAAGCAGATCTATTCGTTGGCGTAGCAAGCCGACATGCATACCAATTGTAATCATTGCGTAATATGGTCTGCCTCCGCGTACGGTAGATGAAAGTCAAAGAGGATCTGCAACTGTGCTTGTGTATTCTACGAGATGTCGAAACGAGTAGAACGTTCTTTCCATCTGAAATTTGCCCATATTTAAAATGTGGATGCAAAGGAACCATGATGTGCATTCGCGGTAGACATTTGCTAGGACCGGAACTCGTTTTTGTTCGACGCATCCAAGTGCGCATTAGATGTACCGTACTAAATTTATCACTTTCTTTTGCAAAACTGAATGACTCTTCTTTTCTGTTGCCGAGAACGACCCGAACAAGTGTCTTCATTCGGTGACCAGCAGACATGCGTTTGCATAAAAGGCTTGCTCATGTCAAGTTGTCCTGCAAGACGGCCGAAACGCCGTGTGCTGAAGGATATCTCTACGAATGTTGGGTGTTGCTGTCCAAACCGATAGAACTCAGGGAAGATGAGATGTGAGAGGGAGGCCTTCTGAATCATATTCAAATTTCAAGGGCAATCTCTGTACAGTATTCTGATTCGACACACGTGTACTTCTCGACACGTAGCGCGCGAGAGAATTTCTGATGACAAGAACGGCCCGGTAGAAGCTTTTGAATCGATACCCGGTCGACATCACACCTCACTTGCCGGAGCTGGCGCTCAGAGGCGTCGAACGGCCTCAGCAGCCGCAACCACGTCTGGCGACGCGGGTCAAAATATACTAATTACGCCCTTCGTGCCCCAAATCGGTCGATCGCAAGTTTCAGCATACCGACTACAATGGCATTTGTTCCCTGCTGGTCGGGAACATCAGTGCTTCATCGCACCTCTTCACCTCAACTAAGTGCTCATTGCTCCACATTTGTTTCTTCTCAAGTCATCCCGAGATGTACCCCAGGGCGTCCAGTCCGGCTGCCCTCATGTTTTGATCTTCCAATTCAAATGGTTGTGGCCAAGCCGCAAGTAATCAACCCTACTCCAACCTTTTCGGTGGATCCGGAAGGCTACATGACATGTGAATCTGTTCGTATTCGTGATATTCAGGACTCTCTTGAAACAAGCCCGGTCTACATCTATTCGAAAGCACAGATTGAAAACAACTACAAAGCTTATCAAGAGGCGCTCACTGGACTTGATTCTATCATCGGCTACGCTATCAAAGCGAATAACAATCTTAGAATAGTTGAGCTTCTTCGCAGTCTGGGATCCGGCGCAGTTCTTGTCTCTGGGAACGAACTGCGCCTTGCCGTAAAAGCTGGCATGGACATGACAAAGACAGTTTTCAATGGGAATGGCAAGACCTCGAAAGAACTTGAGTTTGCGGTCGAATGCGGATGTTTGATCAATATTGATTCTGAGTTTGATCTTGAACATATCGCGACTGCTTCGAAGAAGGCCGGCAAGCGGGCGAATGTCCTTATTCGCATCAATCCCGATGTGGATCCGCAGGTTCATCCCTATATCAGCACAGGTCTCGCGAGCAGCAAGTTTGGTATCCGCAACTCTCATCTCCAGTGGTTTTTGGATCGGATTCGCGACGAAGACTCACTTGTCCTCGCGGGAGTTCACTGTCATCTTGGAAGCACTATAAAGAAGGTTTCAATTTTTAAGGATGCTGCTGAAATCATGCTTGGTTTCATCAGTGAGATTCGGCGCCAAGGTTTTGACACACTCAAGTTCTTGAACATTGGTGGTGGTCTGGGTATCGACTACGAGCGACTCGGTGAAAACATTCCGCGCCCAGTGGATCTCATCAGTACCATCCGTCCCCAGCTTGTTGAGGCGAAGCTCACAATTATTGTTGAACCTGGCCGATCCATGGTCGGAAATACAGCAATTATGGCTAGCAAAGTAATTGGCGTCAAAACAAACGGATCCAAAAACTTCATCGTAACAGATGGAAGCATGGCGGAACTCATACGCCCAAGCTTGTATGACGCATATCAATTTATATCCTTGACGGAGCCCGGCGGCGAGGTGGATACTTTCGATATTGTAGGGCCGGTCTGCGAAAGTGCAGACTTCCTTGGGAAAGAGCGTGTTCTTCCGCGCCCGGAGGAAGGTGCCGGGTTGGCAGTTATGGACTCTGGTGCCTATTGCTATGCGATGGCATCAAACTACAACATGAAGGTGAAGCCAGTAGAGGTGCTTGTGGATGGCAGCTCTTGGAAAATTATTCGCAAAGCAGAGACTTTCGATGACATTATGGCAGCTTACAACTGACAAATAGCTCAACAAGAGGTGGGTGCTGCAGTGCTGAGAAGTATTCGGCAATGTAGCAGCTAGCTGCGATAGCGATTATAAAGTTCATATGGTTTGTGAGAGTGTTTCGGGCAACCACCAGGCTAGTCTGATGACTTTCCAAAGCCGGAGTCACCATGATTTTGACAAACGCGCCTTCTTTTTCAAGGTTGTCGTATAGAATAAGGCGCCCCCAAGCGTGAAAAGCATTCCCAGAACAGATGCGTACGAAAAATCCTCTGAAAGTACATCAAAAGATCCGACGGGGTGCTCCTGAGTGTATAGGATGTCTGTGCCAACAAGAGCGAATTGACAAAGACTCTCCCTTCCGTTGACGGGGGCGATAGCAACATGTTTGAGACCTAGAACAGCTTCACCAAATGAAACGTATTTTGCTTCTGGTGATGCGGACCGCAAATTTAACAGTGGACGATATGGGATCAAGTACTCCGAGGAGCTGAACTTGCTAGGATTTTTTGGCCTGCGAGCGTCCAAGAGAATTCTTGAAACCAAAACAACTTGACTAGCCTCCAACGTTATTGCGATCGACGGCTCAATGAGGCCCAATGTTGTCTCAGTGACATCTAGACCAGTGATCCGTTTCGCAATCAGCATACTTGAACGTAGAATAATGGGCCTCTTGGGTGCATCGCTCTGTGTCTGCGCATTTTGCGACATACATTGTCCTTGTTCTGATTCTTCTATTAACGTCGCGGGGCATTGAACAACCTCATCTTTCTTTAGAAGCTTGAGGGCCCCAGTTACCCGACTTCCAAGTGTTGAATTTGCAGCTTCGTGTAACGCGTGGTGCACTCTGGTCACTTCTTCGTCTGGTTCATACATATCTATTACATGGATCTCCTGTTCGAGCATAACGTTGTTCCAAAAAGTGTATACGAACCAACTCTCACCGCGAGTGGTACACACTGGGTCGCCAGCCTCAGGGTGTGTGATAGTCTCCAGCAATGACCCTGCTTTTGCATCAACTAGCATGGCATGTACGAGCGATTCTTTCTTGTTTTCTGAAAGAACGAGGACAACCTCTTGGTCCACATGACGGAACAGAACGCGGCGGTCGCCGGTGACGCGTATCGCCGGTGCTCTTATTCTGGATGAGGCAGGATGAAACGGCTTCCCAGCTTCCACTTTAACGATTGTAGAGTCCGTTGGTACCACCACTCGCCAAGTTTTCACGCCATTTCTAAGTCCTCGTACTTCACTTCTAGTTGCATCTAAGGACAACCAGCCGCGATCTTGGGTTCGCTCTGAGACAGAGCGCCCTGAGGAGCTTGAACTGGTTATCTCTTCACCTTCAGAACTTAGCATTCGCACATAAACCTGGTCCTTGTCCCTACAACGGGTTCTTTCAATCAGTACCTGGACTGCGACAAAACCTTCAATCGTTTCTTGCAAAACTAGGTCACCATTTTGGACGCGGAAAGCACGAACACTAGTTGCATCGTTCCCGCACACCACCACAGCGAGATCTGAATGGCCTGTGACCAACCTACATTTGTTTTCAAGACTACACTTCCACAGAACTTGACCTGAACTGCCTGCATCCAGTCCGTACACAACACCGAATTCCGATCTTGCGACAAGAACCGACGACCTGCTGTTTCCGTTTTCTGGTGTATAAAGTGCGGATTCAGCAATATGGGAAAGACCCTCCTCCCTCAACCAGATTACTTTGTTGCCTCGGGACAATGTAAGTCGCCCATCAGTAAATGACCGGACTTGCCCCAATTCCATGGATATGTGAGTATCTGCTGACCACACGGCATCCTCTGAGGTCCAAGCATTTGTCTCTTTTGAAGAGCAGGCGCCTTGCTGTCCCTCAGTTAGACTCTTGACTTCGCCAGTCGCAATATCTATGGAAAGCGTTCGACCGTCGCACATATCCACAAGCCCAGATGGCTCGTTGCAAGATCGCAAGTTGCAAGCATGCCTCTGCCACAAGGGCTTCGTTTCCCCAATGACGTATGCGGTAACTTTCTCATCGGAGGCTGTAAATAGCACGAGGGTTCCACGTGAAGTTTTTGGGGCGATATCAACTGAGAGTAAACGTACGCCGTGTGGAGGTGGCGCAGAGCGCCATTTTATAGAACCGTCATCCCCATTTAGATGGGCGATTATACCAAGCTCCGAAACAACGATTATTCCAGATTCGTGCGAGAATGCATGCACGACCCGACCGATACCAGTGCGGCGCCAGGTCGAACCACATGCGATTGGTAAGATGAGGGCGAAGCATAGGTAGATGAAGAACCTCATGGCTTAGGGTGGGGACTGCTCGTGGGCAAAGGTTTTGGGTTGTTCAATCTGGATGTTGAATGTGGGAAGATTGGGTGGAAACTGAGACTAATTCGCCTGACCGCAGCGGGCACGGGCGCGGAGCGATTCAACGGAGCGACCCAAAATACCGTCGGTCGAGGAGGTCGATTAGGAAGGGCGGCGGTCAGATGCGCTCCAAATACGTTATCTGGCTGAGGATGACGTCATAACACCGTGACAAAAGGCATCCGTGACCGGAATGAATTCGAAGGCAATCAATTGATAATCGCAAAAGCTCAGGGACTCTCATTAGCGCGAAACCGAGCTGTTTCCCATTCCTCGGACGCTTACTTTAATACAAGTAGGGCGTTGTCGGGAAACACTGATAGGTTGTAGAAGCGGCGGCCACTCTTGATCTCGACGGTGTCGGAAGAAATCGTTTCCAGCGCGGTGAGGAACCGTGCTCCGAGTCCAAGCGTCATGGCACTCGCCTCTTGGGGGGCCCACCGCTACGCCCGACGACATTCCAACCTATCTACATCTGCGATTGTTCTACTAAATGTTCTGGCGTTGGGGAGGGTAATATCTTAAAATTCGGCGTCCAACGTGAATTGGTAATCGCCAACCGTTTCGAGAGGGGCGCTCTTGCCAAAGACGCCGTTTTTCTCTGCTTGGCGCCCGGAAGTCGGGCTTCCGACGTCACTCTTAGAGACCGACACCGACACCGACTCCTGGGATTGCTTCGTGGAGTCAGCGTCCATCATCTCGAGGCTCTCCTCCAACTCGATACGGTCAAGGTGCTCCCTAACGGCGCGTTCGAGGCCAGCCAGAGCGAAGAACATGGCCTCCTCTAGCAGCGCGGTAAGGGCGACACTTCCGCCAGTCTCTGGGCAGGGAACGAGGCCGTTGACGACATGGACGGTGCCGTTGCGAAGAAAGTTGAGGACGACTCTGAAGCGGGCACCGTCGCGGTCAATGAAAATGCGACCGTGTCTATCCCTGAAGGACGGAAGGTCTGTACACGCCAGAGCACATAGCATGGAGCCCTGGGAACGGGAATTGCACAGGGTGGAGGTAGATGTGTGGAAGGGGACGCCGCCTACGTTTAGCTCGATGATGTCATCGGACGGGGGCATGGTGACGGGTTGCCGGCATGCACGCGGCTGTCCCGAAGTTCGGTATCCGGCTGGGGATGGCCGCTGACGGGGTTGGGGTGTCTACCGGAAACGGAAGGAGTGGGTCGCTGCCGACGAGTGGTAGATATGTACGGAAGGTAGATATGTACGGAAAGTCGGGGGGTGGGGTGGGACAGACGAAATGAGACAGTTGCGATCAACAAGGCGGGGAAATATCGCTTTGCAAAGCATACGAAAGCTGCAAATTTGCCACGTTTGAATAGTGTTGTCTCGTGCGCCCGCAGCCCTAAATTCTTCGGAATTTTTGGGCTCCCATGCCTCCCAAACCGCAGATATTTCTTCAACCAGCGCCACAGACTACCCTATGACGTGACCGGAGAATGTGCAGCGAAGTTACGATGACTTGGGTCTCTGTCAAGTTGAAATGCTCATTGCCAAAGAGCGAGGGCGACACTACAACCAAGCAGGAAAAGGCTGTTTTGACGGGACAGACTCTTTTAATATAGGGCGTGCAGCGGTACAGGTCTTTACAAAATATATGTTTCACACGTTTCTTACAATACATAAACAACTTGAGGTAGCTCAAATGCCGTGTTTGCGCCGGCAGATTAGTCGATCCGATGTTCATCCAGCTCTGATATCAACGTAGTCGTGATATCGTTCGCTCTGCGTCGGAATCGACTAAATAGTGATACTTTCGGGGCTTGCGGCCATACCAAACCTTCTTCTTCGCGACTGCTGTGGTAAGTGCTTGACATCGTCCCGTTCCCACCCGTTGTTGTAGGCATCGGGAGGGGTGGTGTATGTTCGCGGCGCCGTCTGTATGACATGCTTTCACCGCTTGACTCGCTTGCAGTCATCGACCGACTTCCATTCTTACTTTTCCTTCCATCTCGTACAGTAGTCCCTGGGGTTTGTTGTTCCCCATACAATGCTCTCAAGACCGCCTGCTCTCGTTGTTGTCTGTCTGTTAAGATATCTTCTAGAGCCGCATCAATCTTTGCCTGCCGATCTTCCTCCTCGTCTTCCTCAAAGCCACTAGAGGAATGATCTCCATTGGATATGCCCTGTGTGCTATCTTTGTTCCCCTGAACTTCTTCCGGATCCGGTACATCTTCTTCTTGAACATCGGCCTGACCCTGCGAGCTGGCTTGAGCTGTCATGGATGTGGAGGGTACAAGGTATTGCAAGCTCTCTTTTACAGTGCCCGCACTCTGCATCAGTTTTCGGCGAGCTCTATAGTATGGCGGCAGCAGCTTGCTCAGAGCCAGGTTGGAGACACCTCGTCGAGCAAACGTCATAACAAGGTCCTTGCGAATCTGCGTCGAAAATGTTCTCCACGTCCAAAGTTGGCTCGAATAGCTAAAGCTTGGCGTCGTAACGAACAAGTCAAAAAAGTCTAGAACCCCTCGTGTTGGATTCTCTTTGTTCTTGTATGACGCAGTAAGTTCGAAGGCATCAATGAATATGTATTTAAAAAGCATGCTCGATTCCCCACGTCGGGCCATTTGGCTAACGTCGTCCATCTTCGACGGGGCTTTCGTCACCAGTGGAATAGCACCAGAACTCGTGTCAGTTCCGGTACTCAAGTTCGGAGAACTCATATTACTTCGGGATAAAGTCCTCGAGAATGCTGGGCTCTTCGCATCTATGGCGTTGTCATCATCTGGTCCAGGCTTCGATCGGGCTGAGAAAATGAAACCGGAAACGCTAGTCCATAGCTTTCTGGTCAGATGTGCACTCATTGGGGCAACTTGAATTGTCAGGAGGTTGTACACGGGGATGCCACCGACACGGTCTTCTTGAGTTGAATACCATCGAAAAGCGACTGGAGCCCCATCTGATGCTTTGATTCGACTGCTCTTCCGATCTACACCAGCCGCGGCTGGTTCCAGGATACGCTTGAAGTAACTGCTCTTGATTTTGTTCTGAGCACTAATGTTTCCGAATGTCATTTCCGTAGAGCTCCCTCTTCCGATGTAGAAGATATGGCGACATACTAGATCGTCTAACGTGAGTTCAACGAATGGATGCTCTGTGACTCTATGCATCTCCTTGTACGTCTCTCTAAGTTCCCATGAACACCTGTCGAATGAGTAGGAAACATACATCGTCGGATACTGAATGTCGGTCGCGCTGGCTTTCTGGTCCTGGCGCATGAAAGTAGCCACCGCTTTGGCCTTTGCCTTGTACCGTAGCATAGTGTCCGAAAATGATTTTTCTCCTGGCAATATCAAATTATCAACTAGATGTTGTTGAAAAGTATCTCCAGCGTACAAGAATTGCTTTGTGACGTTATTCAGTGTGCGCATAAAGTCATCTAATTCTTCAGACGACACTTTCCCACCAGCAAGTTGTAGCTTGAACCGCAGCTTTGAAAGTTCTTCGTTCACAACCTCAGAAGAGCGCATACTCTGCATTAAGACTTTTCGGATAACGTCTGCGACAGCGTGGAACTCATCGGCATTGGTAGACATGGTAATGTCAGGAATGTTAATATACAAGAGAGACGGTCTCAGGATGTGATCATCTCCGTGGCCCTCATCATTTTCCCGTGGAGTGCTCGAGGAAGATATGTACATCAAATCCATAGATATAGGACGTCTCGTCACAAGTGCCAGAGAGTCCGCTTTTGATCGCATTGGGTCAACCCACTGTTTCCCGCTGAAGTCAAACTCTCCAGACGATGCACTTCTCGAAAAGAGGTTTGCTTCATTCAGATGAACACGGTATTCGCGTGCGGACCATTCCTCATTTGTCTCCCCGAGTTGCATATTCTTCCGAAGCTCCTTGTCAATAATGCCAACACGGACAGCTCGTGAGGTTAAAAAGACCATTCCACTAGTTTCAGGAGAACCAAATGCAACCTGACAATCATTAATGTGCAGAACGACCTTTGGTGCTGTCTTGAGTACCTCAATGCTACCGCATGCCAAACCGTCAATGTTGCAATCATTGAGCCGACAACGAGACTCAGACGATTCAGAATCTCGGGGTGAAAGAAGGTCAATCATTGTTCCCATTGGACGTCTCCATGCCGGGACTCGCGATCTTGGCATGGAAAGCAGCGGGGGTGAAAGTGGATCTGCATCACCGCGTTGGGTGCTTGGACTTGATAATTCGCTTGCTAGGTAGGCGTATTCACTGCTTGTCCGTGACCTTCGCATGTCCCTCGCGGTTTTTTGCTTGGTATGGATCTTACTATCTGAGGTAAAAGGAGACGGGTCCGAAATATCCAGGTTAGAAATGTAATCGCCGTCCGACAACTTCCGAGAACCGCCTTGTTCCTCCTCGCCTGTTTCTACCTTTGCAAATGGAGACGTCTTGGCAGGCTCTACGCTCGTCTCTTGCGTAAAATCAACTTTTGGAGCTTTCATAGCAAACGACTTCTCCTTGAATGCATCAGGCCATGCAGACATAGATACCCGTCTGACGGGTGACCAGATTAGCCGCACACGATCAACACGAAGCTGCTTGTCGTGTAGCTGTTTATCAAGCCTCGTCCCCCGCTGAAATGGATGAGTCGCCGAAAAAGTGTAGAATGGTGAATGTTCAAGGTCGTCACTTCCAAATCCAGAAACCGGGCAATTTCGTGTGGGACTATTCAGGTGGCTTGTCCCCTTGCTCATGGACGACGAACCGCAATTCGGTCCCATAGCCAAATCATCAGAAAGCCAGACTTTGTCTACCGTTAGCAGTTTGCCGGTATCATCTGAATCCACAGCCATATCCAGTCCAGGGACCCGGATGCTCGAGTAAATATCGACTACCTGTAATCGCCGTTTGGTGAGCTTTGATGTCCTTTTCACGTTTCTGCCCTCCAGTCTTTGAATCTTGGTTCGCTTCCTGAGCTCTCCTGTAAGACTAGATACGGAGAGGAATAATCCATGGCCAGGTTCCAAATTGTTGTACAACGCAAGTTTCAAGTTCTTTGCGTCAATTGTAAAATCTAAACCGACTAATGTGCTTGAAAGACCTGTGGGGCTTGGAGGCCTGCGCACTTTCGCGGCACGACGTGGTGCCAACCGACATGATATTGGCCTTCGAACAAACTTCTTCACAACTTTGATCAAAGTCGATACGGCATCAGAGTGCAGAACCGAAGACCCCGGTTCTGAAAACGAGCCGAACAAGTTGGCGTTTTCTGCGCTGCAGCTTTCCATCTCATCAAAAGGAGACTTATCACACTTCGAATGAGTTATGCACAAGTCAACTCCTAAGATCATTGTATGAGTTTTATAGTCCTTGAAAGAATCAACGCCAGGAATCTCATGTAATCCCGTCATCCATGTCGTAAACCCCCCGAATCCGTTAGGAGCGACTTGAACGGGGTCATTTGCGAATAGTAGAGTTGCGGAACCTTTCCCGATGCCTGGCCCTCCTTGCGAGACGTCTTCTCTGCTCGGAAACGGAATGAAATAATGATCCTGCGGGTCGCCACCCAATACTGAAATTGTAGGTTTCAGACCGACGCGGACGAAATCGAAAACTAATTTGCTCCTGAAGTTCTTGTCGAAACTAGAGGGACGCAAATACCAGTTTTGCATCTTCCATGAAATTGGAAACGGGTCTTCTGTCGTAGATTCAAGCCTTGAGGTCAACATCTCAAAGTTATCAGCTTCTATATCAACAAAATGCTTCGTCATTGAGTATGGAGAGACCGAGCTCGATAGATGCCCTTTCAGCTTTTTGGCAGTTAGCCTCATTCGCCCATGCATGTTCACTCGCAGCGTGTCGAACCATGGAATTCTGGGGGAAGGATTCTTGCCACCTGCAAAGAATCGGGAAACGCCCCTTCCGAAGTCACCTATTGCACCGAGAAAGGATGGGTTATATCCACATTGAAGCGTATCAATTATGAGGTGGATATCTGCAAATGTCTTTGTTGAACCTAAGCCTTTCACGATTTTAACGAGACGACGTCGCCCGATAGCCACAGTTGCCTCTGCCACATACGGGGCCAGTGTTGCTTGTACAGCTTGTCCAATAACAGTTTTGTCGAAGTACATCCGATCGATTACCACAAATGCTACAGGATAATCCCGAAAACGTAAACGCACTCCGCTAGCATCAAACTGCACAGCTCTAAAACCAATGGAATTCCAAGCATCGGAATCGTGTTGGCGTGTCTTGTTGTGCTTCTTTAGACCAAGCTCATAGTCATCTAGCATCTTCAAGCGTCGAATGCTTTCTATGCTTCCCTGCTCCCTCACGGCGTCGTCCATAGTGATATCAAAAGAAAGACTTGCAGCCACAAAAGTAGCTAGTGGCGCAAATTCCAAGGGGGGCAGGTGCCCATTCGCAATACATTTCGCGGGAGTCGAATCTTTCAGTTTTCGAACGCGATCGAACCATATCTGTGAATCGTTCTTCTTCAAGGCATCAACACAGCGCTGAGCCGTACCGGCAATTTCAGCTCGAGCAATTCTCTCAAGCTGCTGGATACGAACTGCCATTAATTGTTCACGCACAAGTCTTTCCCTTGTTTCGTCTTGGAACAATGGCAGCATGCGAGTGAGGAAGCCTCCCAGAGGGTGGTCTTCAATGTAAACTTCCACATCTTTCGCAGTAAACCGTATGTCGAATAGCGGGCGTCGACGAACCTTATCTATAGGAATCCCTCGTCTTCGGAGACGTGCTTCACGACTGACTTTCAAAACTGTACGAAATCGTAAAAGCCAATCCTGAAGTACTTGACCAAATTGAAAGTCGTGCAAAAGCATTAGGCGCAAACCATGGACCTCTATCCCAAGTCTTCTCTTTTCGATATTTCTGTTCATGGTATGCAAAGGAGAGTCTAAACGAAGCTCTGACCCATAAATACACTTCCGGTCCTGCATCTTCAGAACTACATGAAGACCAACGTATGTTTCCGCACTGAGGCAGAACACTGGAAGCTCTCCTGCAGTAATACCGATGTTCGGCCCGTCTGGAAAAGAGGCCGTAATGGAAATGTTAGTTGCGTTCACTTCCCATTTGCTCATAGCGTTCATGAGCTTCTGATGTTTTCTTTTGCGACGCTCTCTTCGCTCCGATTCTGGCACATGAACTCTCTCTAGGTCCATACGAGAGAGAGTTTGTGGCATAGTCACAGCAATATCATCTCTGTCGGAATCTGGCGAGATTCTCAACATTCCTACCAACGACTTAAGCTTTTTCAATGATGCAAACAATCCAGGCAAACTCTCTAGACCAGATTGAACATCGAGATCCCAATTAATGCAAGTATCTGTTAGGCTGATGGCTTTGTTCTGTCCCGCGTTTGGATGAATATCAAACATCGCCTCTTTGCATACCAGGTTCGTTGTTCGCGCCCATTGACTCCAATGTTGGAGCTCCACGTTATTCACGACACCATGAATTCGTGCGCTGGTGCCCCCGAAAAAGTCTAGTTGTGGAACCGCAATACTCTGACTCGATAATACGATGGCCATTGTATCACCATCACCGATCGGCCCATGACCTAGTACAACCGCAGTCCAATGCCGTAGATCAGAAACCAATCGCAAAGAAGTCGACTCGTCGTCGGAACTTTGCAAGCTGCTACCACTAGAAGTTCGGGCAAGGGATGTGGTGCTCTCTGTGTCTGTGCTTGTGGTCCATCGTGGCCGTATCGGATGTGGAGATATATAGCTTGATGCAAAACTTGCGAGATCTTGTACAAGTGTGACTAAGCCCAACGGCTCAATAGCCACAACTCCACCGTTGCCTGCGATGTCAACTCGCATCGAGTGCCGCTTCGAACAGTTGATATCAAGTGCGGCGGAGACATCTTCAATCCACAGCAAAGCCTCTGGCCTTGCCGCCACAATTTTATCGATTCCTTCGGAAGACTCGACGTGTTCAGATGCATGAGAAGTTTCAACCTTGCTCGACATATCCCCATGAGCGGCTGTTGCTTCATAAAGTTGTACAGAAAGCGCATCAACTGCAATACTTCCCGCGCTGCAACCGCGAACATTGATAGCTGCATGTGCCATGGCCTCATGCCTTTCATCTGCAGCCTTTCCATAAGCTGTAACCTCCACGCTCTCAAAGCGGGCAAACACTCCGTTCTCCGAAGCTTCTGTCGATTTCAATTGCGACGTCTTCGGTTTGAACGCCTCAGAAACCGATTGCGGTAGGGACATGCCGGTCAGTCTGGTGGAAGCTTCGCTGAGCTGTCTAGCAACTGGGGCAGTGAACCGAATCGCAAATCCTTTAACCTCCCCGTTTCCCTCCCAGTACCGTAAGATACTTGGTTTTCGCGGATACTTCGTTGCAGGGGCTGAAGGAGGCAGTTTTGCGCGTAGTCCTCGCGAGTACCCGGGCGTTAGCTCCATAGCAATCTGAGAAATAGAAGCATCCAGAACGCGAGGAGCGGTACAGGATACTTCGCGCACATTGAGAGATATTCGCAAGTCGTCCATGATGGCCATCCGACGTGGTCGCAAAAGAGTGAAGAAGCGAGGCGTTAAGAATGCAATGACTTCTATACCATGGCGAAGTTTGAAAGAGGCCTCGATAGGAGTATAAAAATGAGAATCGCTGACTGGAGCTTTGCAAACGTTGGCGTAAAACTCGTTGACAGAGAGCGAGTATCGAGAGCCGAAGATACCGTTCGCACGCCCTTGAAGAATGAAGTGCTCCGCTTTGCACTCCCACGAGCCGCCGTCCTTCCAGATGCGAAATTTGACGACACGAACGCGCAGGCCACGGATGATGAAGGCAAAAAGACGGGTGACGATGTTGCGGAAGAGTGTCGACCAATAATTGCGCTCCACTGCTGCCATGCCCGCTACGAAAACAAGAGATTGTAGCGCGCGAAGGACACGGCGGAGAGGCAAGGGGATGCCAGAGTTAGACAGCGAAATGGACTGCCAGGACATTGCAGATGAGGAAGAAGCTGGAAGAGACGGACGCAGACGCATGTTAAATCTCTCTGCATAAATATCCAACCACGGGCCTCGACATCCGCCGAAAAAGAAGCCAATAAATCTGGTGGAGATGCGAACTTCACATCCATCAGGAAAGCGCCTTGACCCTGGGCGAGCATAGATAATGAGACAAGCGAGGCCTAGACGAACACCATATCCTTTGCGACGAAGAATGATAGTTGTGATGAATGCGATGAGCAGGAGGATGACGGTTGAGACGGAGAGGCCTGTGAGCCATTGGACAAGGCGGAAAAAGTAGGAGCGGCCATGGCTGCCAGCCGCAAAGACAGTGGTTGATAGAGTTGGCCACCGCATGTGGACCGGGAGACCGGCAACACGCTGGAAAGAGACCGCGGCAGTTAAGAAAGACGGAAAGGCAACTTCGACGAGAGCGTTGTTAAATATCGTCCCGCGGCATGAGCTTGCGCGGAGGTTGGTCTCTCGGCATCTATCGGTGGATAGATGAAACGTGTGATTTGTTTTCAGACCAGTAGTGAGGCAACTTAAGCGTATCCGAAAGAGGATGTTGTGAGTGTCGCAAAGTGAGGGCTTGGTGAGCAACCGGTCTTCAAAAGAGGAACGCGGGTGAAACGGAAAATGGAGGTGTGGAGCAGTTATGTGAGGGGGAGGTTGTCATTAAGGCAGGAGAGAGCAGGCGGAATCGGGATAAGAGTTGAGGAAAAAGGTAGATAGAGCAGGGCGCGCCAGGGAGTGATTGTATGACAAATGGAATGTATGTTGGTGGACATGAACTGAGAGTGGTTTTCGTTGTCGAACAGAAAGGGCGGAAAATGCGGGGATTGGGTTTTCGTGTTGGCGCCGGGGAGCGGTCCCGTAGCATTGATTGTAGTCACATTTCTGGAAATTTTACCAGGGGCTGCAACCCAGAGGCGTGAATAATAATTGCATAATACAGTATACAACAGAGAACGGCCTGACAGCTCAGTTTAGGCTGCCCATTTGAGGGCCTATGTTGGCTGCTGTCTATAGCAGCCATAATTTTCATGCACAATCCAAAACCACTTGCCCTATTGCTCACGTGTGTCCCTTCACCGATATTAATACTTGCATATGAAATTTAACCTCAATTTAAATACCTTCCAGTTCTAGAATCCGAGGAAGCAGTCCCAGTGCAGAGAGTGGCCAGCAAAGACATCAGCCATCCTGATTACAACTCACTTTTTCATTTTCCACGCACTACTCTAGGCCTTCATAGCGACTGTTCTGCCTCCGCTGGTCAGTCCACTCTAACACTGCGCACACCCTTTATGCGTATTATTACTTAAGTGATGACTGTCCAGGACGCACACTAATCTACTGTACAGCGCGTGACTTGAACGAGCGCACTGACTACCGCACCTTCTCTCACTCCGCCAGGATCTGTGAGTTTACATGTCGTTCTCCTAGCTCTAGTAGACACTAGCCGTTTCCAAAATGCAGCGCCATACACGCAAACATGGCTTCCCCCTCGAAAAAGTTGCAAGCCAGCTGTAAGCTCTCCTCCTGACGAATGGCGAATGGTCCGTGCGGCATCTTCAAATCGGCGCACTGAACTGACTCCTCGCAACACGCTCCGGCTGATCGCAAGCTGGCACACAATCGCGCCTGCAGCTGCTAGCAAGTTGGTTTGCTCGCCACCATTTGCCCAAGCCATTGGCGATAGGGACGTGCAAAACCTCACTGCACGCACACGCACATGCGTCGACGCAGGCCGCCCGTTTGGACTTGCGATCGCCGACGGCGCAAGCCCGCTTAACCAAACGCTCGCTCGTGGCAACCCCAACGCACACCCGTCGGCACTCGCCGCCGCTCTTGGACGCGCACGCCGTCACGGACCCTTGCATCTCCGAACGAGGCATGGGCTTTGAAGGTGCGCCACCCATCGCCGCGCGGTCCGGGCGGCGTCGCCGATCGAGTCTTGTTGACTGCTTGGATGAAGGGTGCAGGAGCGTTACCGGTTCTGCAGGTATGCGAGTATGAATGCCCGCAATCGTCACCACAACAGATCTCGCATGGATGGTAGCTGAGATTCCGTATCGGGATATGGTGATGGCAGGGCGGCGGAATGGTTATCCCCGCAACGAATGCATCGTGAATTTTTTTGCATCTTTCAATCCGGATTCGTCCATAACAACCAATTATGGCGCTAGAGCCCTGTATTAACAGCAATGTTCCCTCTAGCGCACTTTCACTGGGCCACAACGTAAATCAACTTGCCGTCTTCCACATCCCATTGCACCCGAAACGATGCGCTGTCCAATTGGGCACCCCCCTCAATCCTCTGCCTTACGAGACGGCAATGTCTACTTCTACCCCTGTCCGGTCAGTCTTAGCTCCATCCACATTTCCCGTGAGCTCTCCTTATCAACTCGATTTCTCCCATTCCATTTGTGCCCGGACTAACTCACGACCTCCTTCTCATCAACCTTGCTCCTCCTCTACAGAACCCGCTTCCGCCACTGTTCGAATCCCAAACCAACAACCCTCAACTCTTGCGCAATATGTCTGCTGCCGAAACCGCCGCACCAGCCCCGTGGCCTTCCCCACCTCAGTCCGCTCCGGCCCCAGAATCCGCTCCGCATACAGCTGACGATTGCTCTTCTGAAGGGCCTTTGCGAAGCCTTGCACAAAAGGCCTATACAACAAATATTGTCCGCCGCGCCCGCCAGGGAGTCCCTTCTTTTGCGGAGCCTGCCGTGTCTCGCACAGCCAACACTGCTGACGTAGTTTTGACACATGTCGATGGCAGTCTCACGGCAGCCCATAAAACACTTACTACCGACGAGGGCAAGGCTCTGCGTTCCGCCGCCGTCCAGTTCTGGAACGCGCTTTACGTGTTTGTCGCCATGCTCGCCATGGCTGCGCTACGTCAAGCCGAAGGCCTTCTCAGCATCCACTATGATGACCAACCTGACGGTCAACTGCCGAAGCCACAGACTCGTGTCGTCGAAGTCTTTAAGGTTGCTGGTGGCAAGATAAAGACAAGATTTGAGAGGAGAGAAAGAGAAGTGCAAGGCACCGGCGAAGCAGAGATCTACAAGAAGGCCAAATTCGTTGGTGGTATTTCTCTTGCAGTTCTCACATGTGTTATCACTGCGCTCACCAAGTATTCCGGTCCCGCGAAAGAGTACATTGTTCCGGCCGCGGAGCAGGCCGTTTCTGTCCTGCCGGACGATCCATCTCATGAAAGTCAAGGAAATGAAGCGGTAGACGACACGACGTCCGATGGTGCAGTCTCCGGCCCAGATCCCGATGCCCCATCTAGCCCTCTAGTGGAGGACTCTACGTCGTGACCTCTACATGGGCGTGTGGGCCTACACATCTCTGCTATAAGACGATAGCCAATGTGTGCGATTGCAGCAGTCGACTGAAGAATTAGTTTGCTTAGTCACCACACATACGTGCAATGACTCCGCTAGTGCTTTCCACCAGTAGCTAGTCGTAAACCTCATAGAAACGCTTTTATTGCAATTGTACAACAGATGAACTTCATAGCTCCGCGTAATGTTAATCATTTGACACGAGCTTAGCAACCCTTCCCCTACTCATATTGACTACAATTTTACACAACTCAATTCACTTTTGGCATTGACAAGGTGTCGAATGCACTGTTGACTGCTGATCGACTATTTTGAGTTTGAATCGCGGGCCCGATACACACCTTCGCTACACTCTCGAAAAGTTCTTCAATTTCTGGGGCGCATCTGACGAAATCTTGTCTCCAAAAGTTGTACACTGAATTCTTCACAAGCTCAACAAAGGTAACAAGAAGTCCCCACGGATGCGGGCGACTAGCAATTAATCGTTCCACAAGAACTCGAGTGATCTGTTCTTTCACAGAGTCTTCGCTCGACCCGAGGAATAAGTACAAAATCAACCGGCTGTAGTATAGTGTGTGACAATTTGGGTACCGAATCTGATTCACAATTGCATTGAACAAGTGATACTGGCCCTCAGGATCAAGTTCTTGTATGAGCGATTGTATCCAGTCCGTTACTGGTCCATCCATTACAGCAGTAGTCCCTGGTGACAAGCGCCCGATTGCGACCTGCCCTACATACAAGACAAATGCACCGATTGTAGGGATGCTATACCTTGTTTCACCAGATTCGCCATCTGTCATTACGAAGTACGACTTCAGGAGAGGCGGCTTAGACCCTCTTCGTAATCCAGGATCTCGAAGGTAGTTCTCCAATACTGTTAAAAGCCCGCCCTCGTCCAGACTTTTCTTGAAATCTGTCAAAATCCGCGGCTTTGACGCCATCGCAGGAAGCTGATCCACCTTAAGCTCTGGGAGAAATGGATCTGGCAGACGCATGCTCTTCGGAAATGACGATAAGACAATGTTTCGAAGCTGTACGCAGCAGTGAGGAATCACGTCAACAATCGCCATGTGATAATCACAAAGGAATTCTGGAAAGTCGTGTAGGAGAACAAGAAAAACACGAAGAACGCCCTTGTACAAGGTTCGGATCCCTTCAGAAAGAGAGTCTAGAGGATCCTTCAAATATTCCGACAAAAACCGTAACATGGTGTTGAGCAAGTGAAGATACATGTTGCCACCATGGGAAGTAGGATCCATTAATAGCCTCGGCATTACTTCTTTGTTAGAAGAAAGTTGCAGCCATGAAAAGGAGAAACCAGGGATCACTAACGGGGAGCACGCACTCAACGCCCCAACGATTGCAGCATGAACCTGGGGGTTGGCCATTTTGCAGCCTCTCTCACGAGGAATCACAAAGCCAGCGTTCTGTACGACGCGCAGTAGGCCTCCATTCTTTTCGTCCAGAAAGTGCATAGCCTCGGACCTGCTAGAAAGTATTTTCAACCCAAGGTCTGAAGCAGAAAAACTCCTTTCAGACTCTGACGCAGTTCCATTGCCAAGTCCAGCTCCCTCAGAGGAACTAGTTCTTGCTGCAAGGTCTGCTATGAGCCCCGACAGAAGTCTGAAATGTGGACGGAGATCTGCTCCAACTGAAGTCTTCAGAAGGTCTTTCACAACAGCTGTTAAAAACTGAGTCAAGGTGTAGACCTCGCGAGAAATAGTATCTGATACATTAACTGAGTCTGACTGGCATAAAGCGACTATAAAAGGGACAACAGCGTCGACCGCAGAATATGGAGCGGAGGCCAAATCTCCAGGAACGCCAGACGCAGGAGAGCGGAGAGCACGGGCCGTTACAGAACAGACGAGCTCAATAGTGATTCTACTAAACCTCTTGCGTAATTCATCAGTGCTCATGAAATTCGTTCGCACGTGTCCAAGAAATGTAACCACAACACGTTCCGAAACCGGCCGACGAGAGGCATCAGACTCCAAAATTCGCTGCCAATCTGTCAAGCACATGGCAATCGCCTCCCTCATCCCCACGGGATCTGTAGCGATAGCTTCCTTTTGCTGTTGGTTTTGATGAAGTACGAGATGCTTCGAGGAATTCGAGTAATTGTCGTTGGCAGACCCCGTTGTAGAATTTGCCGCAGAATGCTGATGTGCTACTTTCCGACTAGTATCGACCAATTGAACGAGGCCGTCAGGGGCTTCCTCAAGGCTTGGGTTGTCACGGCGGCCGACTTTGCTCATAGTCTCAAGCGTCAAGTACAGTTCTGCTGCCGTCGCTAGAGGTTCGTCAATGACAGCACGCTTAACCAGAAAGCATGCAAACTCCAACGCATTCTTGTTTCTCCCGTTGTCAATCGTCTTTGCGAGAAGCTCGTCGTAGTTTGTGATATTAAGCAGTGAACCTGGCTTGAGCAGAGCAACAATGCATTCCCTATGCAACTTCTTGCGTTCTTCCGAATATGCAAGCCATGAAACAAGCTCCTTCGATAGACGGCGGCAGCTCTCCCGAAGGCCTTCCAAAATAAGGACATGCACTTCACGATAAAGTGTCGAATCCCCTTCGTAGAGATGTTTAAACACCTTCTGGGCGACAGCCATGCCCGCCTCGTCTGCTGTTTCTGATCTCTTGACGGCTGCAGGAATTTGAACCCATAACTGGTGAATTTCATGATCCAAGGAAAGGTCCCCCAATGCCACCGCTTTGTTTCCGGCCGCAGCCACAGCCTCCAATATGCGACCAGTCAATTGAGGATAAATTCCATTGAATCGCTCAAGCACCTGTTGGATGGAAAGAGATTCGGGTTCCCCAGTTAGAGACATACCTTGCAAGCCAGCCGCATGCGTGCCATGTAAGTGTGTTGCACTTCCGGCATTCCCTATTCCTGCAGCAGCTGTCAGTGCATTGGACAGCTCTGAGAAGCCGGCCATGACCGGAAGGGAAGTCCCAACTAAAGTGAAGGAGTCGCGCTTCTCCTTCGCCGGAACCGAGACCGAGGCAGTTCTCCTTCCTGTCGTCACTCCTTGGCCGTTGGTATCCGCTACTGAGTTGGAAGGTCCCGTTGGTCTTGTTCCAGGATAAGCGATTGCACTGGGAGCGTCAGAAAACTTCTCGTCTGGTACTGAACCATTGGCTCGACTATCAGGCAACGCAATATTCCCACCATCCGCGCGGTGACTTGATGGCATTGAGAGATGAGAAGGAGCTGTGTTGGGCTGCGCCGGTCGCACTGGCTGTGGACGGGGAGTCTGCGCTGTGCTCGGATGCTGGGAGGGGGTGGCACCCATTCGAGGCAAGCGCCCAAATTCATCGTAAACTCGAAGAACTTCCGGCCCCAATGGTATCCGATGACTGTATGAGGAATGCTGCGGACGACGAGCTGCAATAGCGGGCGCAATCTTTTCATTCAGGTCTCGTGCGGCCTTCTCTTTGGCGTGTCTTTCAATAATAGCACAACCAACTTCAAGGTTCGCCGCGCATATGACCTGTGATGTTTGTTCGATAAGATTTTGCTCCGGCACCACTGGGTTGAGCATTGTGCGGAGTTGATTCCCCATGGAAACTCGAAGGGGTTCCTTCGATGTCACTAGAGCCAATGAACCGGCCAGTTGTTGAACCATCTGCAGTGCAGCTTTCCTCACTTTCCCAAGATCAGGTTCGTTGGCAAAGTCCTTAAGAGTTAACTCTTTCGTTGTCAGAAAAGCGATCGCACAGCTTCTCTCGACAACTGGCTGAATTATCTCTCGGATTGCCCGGTCTATAGCTAGAGGGAGCAAGCGCTTCAGACTTGGATTCTGCTGGAACACGACTAGCGATGGGCTAATCGTAATGTAGTTCGCGAGATTAGGAATCACCGTGCTGTCTGATGCAGAAATTGAACCAGACTGTCTTGAGGATATCCCAGAGGGTTGAACTGATGTACTCGGAACGCCACCCGTAGTGTGGAGCGAACTGCGCTGGAGTTGACTGGAGCTGCGATTTGCCGAACTGAGTGACGCGCCCTTTAGCATACCCGACAAGTCACCTACGGAGTCAGCAGGCATTGTAAGATTGCTGGGCATGAGATTGCTTCCTAAGTCCATGCGCTCCGATGATGAAGCCGGACCCAGAGATACTGGAATTGGGGGTATTGAGGACGTGCTTGACTGCGCATCCGCCAAAGAAAATACAGGGATTCCTGGTCTCCCGGTGGTGCCAACCTGGCCATAAGCCCGACGAAGCTCCGGAGAGGGAGAAGTAGCGGGGGAAGGTAGCGAACGAAGCGGTGACGCGCTTGCCGGCTTTTTTGTGTTGAAGTCCTGGTTGTTATTCTTGTCCGGTGCTGGGCGATTTCTCAACAACTCTGAAGCTGTCACCTTGTTCACATCAACGTTCAAACTCTTGCATAGCAATCGAAGTTCGAACCGCATCCCGAGCTTCAAATCAAGGACAGAATATATCTCTTTCATAAGACTAAGGATGCCTCTAATCCATGGATTAGTAGTCTTGAAGACTCTTGATCCTCGAGAAGCCTCTAAAACCTTTGAAACGAAAGGAAAGATTGCAGTGAGGCGGCCTCTGGAATAGGCATCCATCAGAAGCTCTTTGAGATCTAAATCTCTCTGCAGCACTGGTTTGTTCCTTCCCAGCGTTAATGCGCCAATCCAACTTCCTAGACTCTTGAGGACCTTGCGTTCTGAAGTGCTAGTCACGATGGCATCAGATGCCAACAGGACCTTCACTCTCTTGTACATTGTCTCGTAAACCACCTTGAATAACGTCGGTGCTTCTGGCTCCATTCCTTCCAGCATTGAAAGATATAGCCGATGAAAGTTTGACTCTATTGATGCCCTCTTCACAACAACGTAGACAGAAAAAAAAGGTATGTATTCGGCATCAAGGAGCCCTAGCATTTCCTTCACCTTGACCTCCATGGTAGTCTCCGAAAGGTTGTTGAAAATAAATCCGATCTTGTCTTGCACAGCATCGTCAGGAGCCACAATTTTGTTGGCCTCCTCGGCTGTAATGCCAAGAAGCGCCATGAGATTTTGCGGAGACATTGCCAGTGAGCCATCCATATTGCTCGTGATCGAAGGGGACGGCTTAATTACTGACGAAGCTAGCAGCGACTCCTTCACAGGCGTTCTTTGAGGAGACAGAACGGGGGATGAGACAAGAGCGCGCACTGTGTCTGCATCGACTGATGGATCACGTACTGACGTCACCGGAGGTGGAGCTCCGTCAAACGACTGTAACTGGTCCTTCGCCAGCTCTCCGTCAAACCCGCCCAATCTGATTACCACTTCCGCTTCAGAAGGAATGACACCATGGTACATTTCAAGCGTCCTCTTCGCAGCCTCTGCAATAGCTGGCTTCACCTCTGCCAGCCTCGGCAACTTCAAAATCTTCCGGCAGTAGGACGGCCATTCCTTAAGACGGGATACATATCTCTCTAGCGCGTATAATCCAAACGTAGCCAGCCGCCCTATGGGTGCAGGACTCGGTTCTGTAGTTCCTAAAGCGTCAATGACGCACGTGAGTGCTAATCCCTGCAATTTTCCTTCAAGAAGAGACTCGTTCACGATGGAACCGAACAAACGCCCGGTGATTTCCAATTCACGGTCGGGATACTTCTTAAAAAAACGGTATTCATCAAACAATGTATGCATCGCACACAAAAAGACGTGTCTGTCATGTACAGAGTTTGACAGCTTGTAATTTCTCAAAAGCTCCACCGCATGCCCTGTCGGTAAGCTTCTCATGTAAAGATTCTCAAAGTACGAAGAAGCTTCCTTTTCAATCGCCTTCGGGAATCCACTGGGTGCCCTGCCTGGCCCCACCGACGCAGGCAGAAGCAAAGCAGCGGCAGTGGATGCTGCCTCTGAAATACCATCTCTAGACTCACGAGGATGAGAGGACGTCTCCACACGGTTCCTATCTTCTGGCGGGGTCTTTTCTCCTGCATCAGTGCCAACGAGAACTGTTGGGTCTCTTGCATCCTGGGACGGCGAAAGATCGGCCAATCGAAAAGTCAACCTCACATACGCCTGCATCAACTCCTGGAACCCTTCCATGATGTCCTGCGTCTGAGTGTTGTTGCTATCGCTACGCAGGACGGTCACAAAGCAGCGAAAAATGAGTCGGACGGCATCAAGAGGCATTTGGGCGGCCTCCTGGCCATCTTTGATCTGTAGTTTAGCCGCTAGCTGAGTTGTAATTGTGGAGACTATGCTCATACCACGCGCCAGAAGCAAATCTGTGAGCCACTTTTCCAAGTTCACCGCGCCTTCTTTGTACGCAAGGAGTGCTAGTTCAAAAGAAAAGACGACTGAGTTCACGGCCCGCAACAAATCATCCAGGATTCCTAGATCGGACGCAATCATGTAGACCAGATGCAGCATTGTAGGGTCCTTCTTCCACATTGAAATAAGTCCTGATTCGACGAGAGTTGGGGTCACGTCCCACATTTGCCGCAACGTTTTTTCGCTCTTTGGGTAGGCCGCGATTAAAGGAGCAAGTAAAGTCACTGTGAGTTTGTGTTGCAACGCTACGTTTCGACGCGGTTTTGAGCATGTCAGCGACAATAGAACAAGGTTCGGATCCTGCCGAAGTGCGTACTGAAGCAAATCACGAGCATCGAGCTCGATTAGCTTTTCAACAACTGCAATCCTTGATAATGGGCTCGCCATGTCCTCCTTCGTGGCAACCTCAAAAGCCTCGAGAATATCCCAGTTGATGTATTTGTGCGATGCAAGCGCATGGGATATCATACATATTTGAGAAGCCGGATGTCTCCAGTCATCCAAAATGATATCTCCTGGAATTAGCGAGCCGCCCGTGCCAGTCATATGTGCATTGGCAATTTCCACGAAAGCAGCTTGTGTTAGTTGCTTTTCCAATCCATCTGCATCCAAAGATCGAATTACAAGGCGCCAATCCAGAGGCGACTGGTACTGGGCGGCGACTGCCACTACAGCGTGTACTAACACATCAACTCGCCATTCTGATGGAGACGAAGAGACCGCTGCGACGGCATGTTGAACATTTGTGCCCACTGAAGGGTTCTCCGAGTCGCCACAAAACATTGCGAAAAGGTGAAACATATGGCTATCCACGGCGGCCGCTTCTGTAGGTGGCCCTGCAGTGGCAAGGAATAGCAAGGCCGAAGCGACAGCGGCTTCTGACGGCCGGCCGAAGTGAACAAGAGTGTGGGCAAGGGAAGACATATTGCGCGAAGCCGTAGCTTCTGGCCCCAAGTCCTCGAGAAGACGTTGTAAGGGAAGTGGGGGCTTGGAAAGACGGGCGAGAGACGGTGCAGACAAGGCTGCACCGGACGTTTCGGTCGATGACTGAGGTTTAGATGAAAACTGCGTAACTGTGCTGGATTCAGTGCCAAGCGCAGCACGCAGTCGTGGCGGCACAGCTCCCGGTGGAAGCACTGGAGGCAAGAGACAATCCCTAGTCGGCAGCAACGCTGGGGCGGCCGAAGCCTCCAGCTCGGGAGGTGTCTCTACAGCAGCAGCGAGCAGACGGGACAAAGATACCATCCGCTCGTTGTTCGAACAGGATCAATGGTACAAATTCGGTCTCGGGTGCCTTTGCAGCAAAGGCAAATGTTGGCGATTAGCAATCCCGACAAAATAAGTTGATGTCGTCGCCCACGGGTGAGATGGTCCGACGAAACAGCGTTCCAGGAGCCTCGCGGGGAATAAACTTCAAGGTTTGCCAGCACTGATCCGATGATGCTCAAAGACGAGGTGGTGTCCCAGAATGGAGCTGAAAGAAGAAGTCAGACTGAATAAACGCTGTGGTGTGGAGGGAAGATGCTCATCTGGTGCTAGACTGTACATGTGAACGTGTGCGGGCTCTTCCATTCACCCCGCGTTTGCCACCGAGAGTTGAATAATTCTTAATTGTTTGTGGGTAAACGGGACGCGACAATGCAATTACCAATGAGTACATTCAATTAAACAGAAGAATGAGGTCAAACAGACAGATCGTGGCCATTTGGAGCACACGAGCCCAAGTCTTTCTTGACGGAAGCGACTGTACAATTCTACGCTTTACTGCGGCACCATACAGAGTACACGTGTCCACGACTACGGCGCTAATTAATTAATGACAAAAATAATCCACTGTTTCGCCTTTCGAGGTGGTTCACACAGAAGTCCTAATTTGTAATTCCTTTTCTGATACGATACACGTGTACAGTACCGCGGCGCAAGGCATAAATACACTGTACACGTATCGGGCAATAATAGATACGAGCAGTTGTTTTTTAAAAAAACAAGTGCGATTTCGACATGAAACTGGTTGATCAACTCAATGAAGTGGATTGGGAGTATTATTTCCGGTATGCAGAGTATCGAGTATTACTGCAAGAATTGCTCGCTTGGGCCACATCAAGCAAGAAAGCCCGCTATTGCACTGTACTGGCACTGTACAGTGCATTGCTGTGGCGTAATGCTAGGGTAGTTCAGTACGTTTCGTCTTATTGCTGCCGTGCTGCCGTCTTGCCCTATCGAGTCAAAACTCCGCGCGATAATTTCTGACTCGTTTGAGATATAACCGGCCGCCATATAGCGAATCGCTCCCGCTTTCCCAAATAATCATCCGTCGCGTCACTCGATGAGGGTTGCTCCCACAGCAGATGTTACTACGAGCTCTTACCCACCCGCGAGAGTAATTTCTTCAATCCAGTAGGCATGCGAGAAGGCACTGCGAGCCCCTTACTGCGTGTAAGTATGGAGGGGTTACATCAACGGAAAGTCGGGCAACACAATCCTGAACCATCTTCCAGCCGAAAAAATAGCGAAGCCGATCATCTATTGAAGCCAGCCAAGCATCGCTCATCGGCACCCAGGTTATCATCAACAGCCGCATGCGACGCATTCATTCTGATATTCTTCACAGTCAGTGCTATTGCGACTCGTTTTTACCGCCTTGACTACCCAGCAGCGTGAGTGAATTTGTTTAGTTTCTGCCTTATCATGCCCTGATGCTCGAAAGTCTAACAGTATCCCATCCCTAACCCCACTCACCAACTCTCCTCAAAATGCATCAATTGATTCTATAGTGTCGTATTTGATGAGCTGCACTTCTCTAAATTCGTCGACCGGATTCTCACCCACACATGTACGATCAATGCATTCTCCGAAAATCTGATTCTATGGCGCCGCTTGATTCGTATCTGACAAAAGCATCCCATTTCCAAACGCAGGGTTTTTCGACATTCACCCGCCCCTCGGCAAGCTTATCCTCGCTTATGTTAGCTTTTTCTTGGGCTATCGCCCGGATCCTGATTTTGTGATCGAAAAGATTGGTCACGAGTATCCGGTTCATATGAATTATGTTGTTGTGCGAGCTGTTTCAGCCTCGTTCAGCGTTGGTACTGTCCCGCTCACATATCTTGTCTCTCGAAAACTGGGCCTTTCCCCAATTAGCAGCTCGGTGGCCACAACATCAGTTTTATTGGACTTCCTAGGTATAATTGAAGGGCGCTTAATCCTTATGGATTCACAACTTTTATTCTTCTCTCAGCTCTCATTATATTGTGCCTTGTTTCTGTGGAGGTCTGAACCTGGTACTCACCGAAGAACTATGTGGTTAATTTTAACCGGTCTGGCGTGTGGCACAGCCCTGTCTATCAAGCATACCGCACTTGGCACCCCAGGGCTAATTGCTTTGATATCGTTCTTCGGATTGCATTTCACACCGATGCCTCTAAGCCTTCGGGAGTGTTTGTGTGCGGGTTTTTCTGGATTAGGTGTTTACACTGCCACGTTCTATGTCATGTTCAACACATTATGGAAGACGGGAGCCAAATACGACAATTTCATGCCTATGCACTTCAAGAGGACTCTTGTCGGGTCGGATCATTACAATGCAACGGCGAGGCGGGTTTCCTTTCCGAGATTATTTCTGTATTTGAACCGACGAATGCTTGCGAGCAACGCCAGTATCAAGAAGAGACACTCATGGGAATCTGACTGGTATCACTGGATTGCGAACTGGCGAGGCGTGTTGTACTTTGTGAAAAAGTACACGCATGGAAGTAAGGAGTTGAAAGAGCAGATTTATCTGTTGGGAAATCCAGTCTGCATCTACCTCACTCTTGTGTCTGTCTGTCTCTTCGTCGTGGTCACATTGTTTTCTGTACGATATCGCTACTACATTCGACGGAAACTTGACATGACACAATTCTTAAGGATGCGAAGCAATGGCGTGTTCCTGTTAAGTGGCTGGCTCTGCAATCTTCTACCGTACATCCTCGTAGATCGGGCAGCTTTTCTCTACCACTACATCCCGGGATTATTCTACGGCCAGCTTTTGACTGCTGTTGTCATGGACATGATTCCTCCGAAAGTCAGGTCACTTGCCGGCGGCTTGGCAATGGCTTTCATGTTTGCAGCATACGTGTATTGGGCACCTTGGATATATGCATTCCCATTGACTAAGGAGCAGCATGATGAACGTCGATGGTTACCGCGCTGGACGTAGCAAAAACAACCATAGAAATCAACTTTGTGCCGTTACATGGCAAATTGAAAATCTTTTTTGTTGCATCGTATCAATTCATCGACTTATTAGGACTATATTATTAGGGACCTATAATATATGTGCCACCCTTTTTACACACGGAGCTGTCACAGACCGTTGAAAGCTAAAGCTCCCTGTCAGTACTGCAATACTAAGAGAACATTCTACACAGCTGCTCGCAAAGGAACGAGATGTCTTTCACTCGCCTGGGAATTATTAGCAAATCGTAGTCTATCCCAATATGGTGCACTTGTTTGCAAACCAGCCCTCTGCTCGACCTGATCTCTTCAAAGCTTCTGACCTGCTCTTGATGAGTTCTGTAGAGAGTCAGCCTCTTGATGAACATCGTGATGCGCTCTGCAGCGCCACCCGTACGAACGATGGGAGGAATTATTTGCTTCGATAATACCATGCGACGCATCTGTATCATATTCGGGCAGTTTACTGTCACCAAAAAAAGGAGCTCCGGGCATAAACTTACTGGGATTTTTTTAGGCTGATCGCATAGTCTTTATTTTTTGGCGGGAAAAGATCTTCTGAATCCTATGCTCTACACTTGATTACTACTTCCTCCTCTTGGGTCGGTTGCTCTCACACCATGGCTTCCTCCCTGTTAGTCAAGCGCTCTAGAGGCTGTGTCGAGATGTGCCAGCCTTTGTGAAGTCAACAGCTCTGACAGAATCGATTCGTCTTCGGAAAAAAAAAACAGTCCCTGCGGACGCCAGAACTCTTGCAGAGGCGCCCTTCGTCGGTGCCCCCAAATTCGGATGACGTCTACCGTAACCATTCGTCTCTCAGACGCCGTCGACAATTTTATCGCCCTACGCCAATCTATCTCGCCTTTGCCATCGTCTTCGCTTATCTTTGAAAGATACCGAAATGCGACTCTGTCCAATCTTTCACCTTCAAGACTGTGGAGATGGTCACGCAGTTGGTCGCCGAAGGGGCTTGATTACCTAAACCCACCTGGCCGTGAAGGTTTGACCGACGAGCTATCAAATATATCGCCGTCAACAATACTCATCATTGCTTCCTCTCTGCCACTGGGAGCATTTGACAAGTTGTCGCTAGCGAATGCTGACGACATTGCACATATCATGGAGACCCGTGAATACAAGGGCGTCCTGCTAGTAGATGGTATGATGCAAAAAAGCCATATTGAGTTGCTGAAAGAACGGCTTAATGTGACTGAGGCGTTTCAAGGTGTACCTGCGCGACAGGTCTTCGCTGCTCATCTCCGTGCCGCATCACGCCCCGGGCTGAGTGCGGACATGAAAACAAGTACTTCTCTCTGGGCTGGATCAACTACATTGCGTGGATCCGAACATTGGATGTCAGGCTTTGAACTATATGACCCATCGAATGATCACTCTTCTCCACGGCGACAAATACAGACTATCCAAGCAACTCATGGCGTTTTTGTGGAGTGCTCGGGAGAAGTGCCCGAATGCGGCGCAGTGCTCGCTGCGTCTAGAACACTGGAACTTCGGATGGGCATGGGATCTGACTCCACGGCAGCGAGCTTTGTACAGGAGTGGATCTCTGTAGGATGCGCCATGCGCCTTCTGGTCGGTAAAGCGCAGTTTTGGTGCTTTTGGACCAGGACGCATGGGGAGTGGTCATGCCGCGTGATTCGTCTTCCAAAAATGACTCGAACTCAAACGAAAGTACTCCATGTAGGTCCGTTCGCATGCCCCAATCTGGTTATGCCTGAGCAGGCTAAGCCATTTGCCGCATCAGAGATTCTTGGAAGATTGCCAGAAATACGACTAGGAAATTCGCGACCAGACAAATGCGAAGCCCTCTCATCAAAGAATAGAACGAGAGTGGATTTTGACTCTGCTACCGTTACTCACCGCACTGATGACAACGTTGACAATGACGCGTCAATCACGGAGCGCAAACAAAGAATCGCGCCAGAGATTCTAGGAAGATTGCCCGAAATTCGCCTCAATGAGTTCTCAAGATCATGCAAGAACGATGTCAAATTACCGGGAGACAGGATGGGAATCCGCTGCGAAGCGACCGAAGCTCTAGCTTTCGCTGCAGAAACCAATGCTTGCATCATTGAAGATGCTCCGCTAGACAAAAAGAGGCGGATAGTGGCTGCTGCGCCCCCCCCTAAGAAGGATAGGGCTTCTCCTCCCATTTCAGCACCTGAGCAGGACTTTTTGAACACCGCAGCTGCCGAAGAACAGAAACCATACTGCAAATTCTCGGGCACGTCCGTGGTGCCTATTTCCACGAATGGGATAGTTTCGTCTGGGCATAAACTTGAAGCCCAAGAATTGGCCACGGGAAAAAGGCTGAGAGCTACAGACGACGATGAGCTCTCGGTTCTCAGTACTTCTACTTTGCGGACAACATCTGCTTCTCAAGGTAAATCAATTCGAAATGAACAGATTGCCTTGAAGCGACGGAGATTTCAGCGACTGCAAGGGAAAAGCGGAGAGAGTCGCTTGAAGTTTAGGCCCAGAGATGCAAAGCGGAAATCAACCGTGTTGCAAGGAGATAAACGTCAGGTTGCAGACTCAGTAACAAGCAAGAAAGATGGTCTTAAAGACTCTCAGAAGTTGATGCTAAGCAGAAGAACCTATGTGGCAGCAGTCACGAAGAGAGTGTTACACGCTTTAGAAGAGTCATCGCCATTTTTCGACTTCGATGTCCTCAGTAGACCATCACAAGAAATTGCTTTGCCAGGGAAACGAGCTCACCACCTCGGGAATGAATGGAAAGAGTTCTTCCAGGACTTAACAACAATCGGTAGAAGCAAATTTCCAGTCGCCAATACACATGGCGTAGAATATTGCCGCGAAAGCGAGAGTAAGGACAAGAAGATGATGCGGTTAGAGCAGTATTTTGGGAAACTGGGCATAGAATTCGGATCGGCGCTCGGGCATGTGTTACCAAGTGATGCTGTAAAGCTTCAAGAACAACTGCGACAGCTTGCAAGAGGCGATGGCGGACGTGGGAAAAGAAAAATCTCTCGCATGCACCTGGCAAATGAGCATCTGGACCGCAGATACTCACCACAGATTTCTCTAAGTAGTTCAGTGATGCCGCCAAGTCCACGGAGAACAGCAGCAGTGCACGAGGCTTCTTTGACCGCTAGCCGGGCTTCAGTTGATGCTTTGAAAAGGAAATGTGCGATTGTAAGCCCAGAACTTCGAAATGAGTACTTGGGAAAAGTCGCAGGTGGCGCTGAACTAGTTGCCCATGTGGTGAACCCGAGATTCTCTGATACAAGCCCTCGCAAGGCGGTATTCCCTTCCAAACAACGGACCGGAAAGAACGGAGACGTGTCTACATACCCTAAACCTTTTAAGACAGAACTACAAGAGCTTGTGAACGCAGAAACTGGCAAGGATCCTTTCAAATGCTGTGAAACGATTACAGAATTGCTGGTCGCCCAGTTGAAGCTATTGGACAAAGGAAAAAGGAAAGCACTTGTATATCAAGTGGTCGACACACTAACCGAGCAATGACTTTTTGCTGTCACACCAGGTTACAGTGCTCCTTCTATACGAAGGGAAGGCGCTGAAAAAGTATCAGGATAAACTACTTTATTTTTAGGGTCAAAGTGTAGATTTTGGGGCGACACCCGGCCAAAGTGAAATCTACGTGGGGCGATTTCAATGCGGTGGGGGTTTTTATAGGGCGACACTACTAAAAAGTGCTTTGCTAGTAGGGTGATTTTGGTCCATGGTGTCCTTTTCAGGGGGTGACAATGCACGTTTTCTAGGGTGACAGAAAAACGATCGTAAAGTCACCTCCGACAAACTCATATTCGGGGATGTCACCCCATAAAAACGTATACCATCGTGGCATTTCGGCAGAGACCTAAATGTTAGAAAAGTCGCCCTAGAAATGCATGATTGTTTTAATGTCACCCCTATAAAAGCACGCCAACGCACGGTTTCGCGCTGGATAAAGCGCTCTCAAAACTGAAACAATATAGTGTGGCTATAGAGGCCGCCCAGTGCCCACCACAGTGGCATACGGTGACGCGCGGTCACGCGGCGTACGTTCCGCCTTCTGAACCCGCCATTTTTCGGCGTCTACGTTCCCCAGCTCCCCCCCGCGCACATCTCGCCGCAATGCCCTCACCCGTCTTCTTCATCGCCTTGCTCACCCTGCCTCTAGCACGGTGCACCACGGCCGCGTCTCCAAGTGACCCGGAACCCGCACCAAAGAGCCCGGCGCCCATCTCACGCGTGTCCATTAAGAACGGAAGTTTGTGCAGATCTCCGGGGAGGTGCAACATTCCTAGTATTCTTGGACACCATGAGCTGGGCGATTGACAGGGTGATGATTGGTGATGGCCGACAAGGGGCAAGCGGCCACAAAATGCAAGACGGCGTTTTGTACGCTGCCGCCGGATTGACAGGCAGTGACGAAAGTTTCTGGCCTATCGATGCCAATTCGATTACACTATCCCTTCACACGATGCAGGCTCTATTAAACGCTATAGATGATGGTACCAACGACTTGCCGCGCAAGAGAAAGTTTTTGCAAGAGATGTTCCGTCGACTGTATGCGTGGATGATGGCCCATCGCGGTGTGCCGATACTCATCGGTGGTATTGGGGCACGCGGTCAAATCACTGGATCAAGAAGGTTTGAGGTGCACCAGTATGGCCCGAACCTCGTGCGCAGCAACGACGATTCATGCGTGTCGGCTGCGCTGTCCAACGGCACTTGTGCGCTATATGGTACCACAGGAGGAACAAGCGTCGACAAGTACCTTCGGAAGCATCCGATGAAGATCAAAACACTCAAGCAACTCTTTTCTCTGGTTCACCAAATTCCCGCTCAACTATCAGTGCGCCGAGTTCCTAAAGCTGTGAAGAAGGCGTTCGATGCAAATCCTTTCAAGTGGCTTGCGCACCATAATCAAGGCGTGTGGATAGTCCGAATAGTGGAACACGGAATTGTAGATCATTGCGTTGCGCTGGACTGCAACCGTGGTATTGTCCATGATAGCGCTTCAAGGTATCCGTTCGCATTAACCGAAGATGTGCTTCGTCTCCTTGGCGGAGATGAAGCAAAACATTTGCGCGTGGCTGAAGTGAGGGAGCTAGTTAAAGTCCCTGTCAATTCCAAGAAGCCCTCACGCTGCTCGTGTTCATCCCCCGCCCCTCCCGCTCCTTCTTCGCCAGCTTGAAGTACTCGGGCGTCGAGCAGGGGAGGCTACATGCGTGGGTGCGCAAGTTGGAAGAGAGGGAGAGAAGGGTCGGCCAGGCGGAGGAAGCGGGAAAGGACCGCATTGCCGAACGGGTTGCTACCGTCGCGAGGAGGGAGCTGCTCACGGCGAAGAAGGAGGAGTTGCAGAAGAGATGGAAGGGTACATGAGAGTGATGGACCTGGGACGAGACGTTGCTTTCGCGTCTGACGCGCCCGGAGCAGGTTGGATCTTCGCCCCTGGCATCAGCGAGCGCCGCACCTGTAGTATAATGACCGGCGCGAGCGCGCGGAGGTCATCGGACGGCCGTATACGGTATACACGTGGGCGGCTGTGCCCACGTGTAGCGAGCGCGCGCGCATGCCGAGCGGTCGTAATCTGGCGTACGTGTACGTTAGCACACGTGTCGTCCGTGCGGTAGTCTGTAAGCAACACGCGTGTACAGTGGTGCACACGTGTAGTAGCAGCGGCCGTGCGGTAGTAGCAATTATGGCGCTAGTTTTTTAATTGTGTACAGTACCCGGCACGCACTAGGCGGCAGGTACTGTACTACTGTACTGGGACAGGTGTCCGAGGCGTCCCCCTGCGGGGTTAAGACCTGGCACCCGTCCCCACCAGTAAACGGGGGCAAGCTCGCCCCCGTCCCTTTTGCGCCTACGTACGTCCGTTTCGGTTGTCCGCCGCGCGCGCTGGCTTCTAACCCGTTACCGGTCGCTCCCGTTTACGCACCACGGGGCGACTGCGCGTAACCGGCCAGTGAGCCACTCCCTTTTCGCGAGCTCGTCCGCTCGGTTCTATTAGCGCGTCGCGTCCACGCCGCGTGCTCCCTCGCTCAAGCCTCCGCCTCTCACCCAACCCAGGGCGGAGAGGTTTTATCCCACATTTGGTACTCTTGTGGAGGGCATAACTCTCGAGGTTGAGCCGCACGCGTGGTCGCTCGATCGCGCGCAGAACCGTACGGACGGAAAAGGTTGAGAAATCACCGCGTCGATCGCGAAGCGTATTCGACGATGAACCGACCGGAAGAAGGGGGAGACTCCGCCTCCGGGCGTCTGAGCACCCGCAGTGGCAGTGGCGCACCGCGCCCCCGGGTGGAGAACCCGGAAGCCCTGCTGCGACCGCCACCGCGACCGGGCCGCACGCGAGCGTCCGCATCGGATGTTACGCCGGCCGTGTCGGCAGGCACCGAGAATCGCGTCCAATGGATGGTCGACGCGATTCAGCCGCGCATCCAGGCCTGGGTCGAGGAGTTCCTCGCTACGGAACTCCCCCAGGTAGCGCGCGTATGCCTCGACCGAACGGTGCCCGCGCTCGTGGACGCGCACGTACGCAGCGCGATACCACCGCTTTTGGACGAACTTCTACCCGCTCAAGTCCAATGCGAGGTGGTGACCGCGCTCACCACTGTGGATGAAGAATCCCCGTCCGGTACGGCTCTAAAGGGAGCCATCAGCTCCGCCGTGGCCAATCGTCTGGCCACGACCTTCGCCGGAGCAGGAGTCGACGCACGCGAGCAGCGCGACTCGACCGCTCCGGATCCTACGCTAACGCACGCAGAACCGATCGGCGCCGCACCCGGGATCGGTACAATGGCCCCTCACCCGGAGGGTAAGACCATTTACCTCCCACCAATTTATGGTGCTACAGGAGGGCCCACAGAAAATGGCCCTCCCGTACTCGCCGATACGGCTGGCCCCCGCGGGACAGAAAACCGCCTGGGGCGCTTCGCGACAGAAAAGCGACAGCCGTATCGGTCGAGCAGAAGAAGCGCACCCGGCGCTCAAGGCTACACCTCGGAGGGTACAGAAAACCCCTCCGAGGAAGAAGACACAAGACGTCGCCACAGGGCGACGCGCAAGAACCGCGACGGACGCTACGCGCGATACCGCGATGCCGGAGGGGTCGGGTACCCCTCCGATGATAACCGCGACGGACGCTACACGCGATACCGCGATGCCGGAGGGGTCGGTTACCCCTCCGATGATAACCGCGAAGGACGCTATACGCGATACCGCGATGCCGGAGGAGGTGGATACCCCTCCGATGACGAGGACACCGAGTCGGACGGATCGCGCAGAGGCGACCGCAGAGGTCGCAATGCGCGCGACCGACGTCGGTTCCGGCGAGAAGACTCCGATCCGGAGGGCTACAGTAGCCCCGGCGGAGAAGGAGACCGCCACCGCAGGGGCAGAGACCGCCGGTCTGCCCCGAGGCGGGATCCGAAACGGCTGCCGGTGATCAGGCCGCTGAACGACCTGTTCACCAAGGCCGTCGACTACCGCACGTATAGGCTGGAAAATCGCAGCGCGCGCTACGACGCGAGTACCGCGCGGCGAGTTAACCGATATCGGAAGAAGTTGGACGTCCAGCTGAAAACCCACACATTCGGTGGTCAAGATCCAATCGCGGTGCTAGGATTTCTCGCGCGCTTCAAGATGGCCTGCGACCACAATGGGGTCAGCGAAGGCGCGGCCGTATGGTGTTTCCAGTTTTATTTGACTGGGCAGGCTCACGCCTTGCTCCAGTCCAGGCTACACGGGAACACCATGGCGGTCGATGCGGAGCAGCGCGATATGCTCGAAACCTACGCGGAAGTTGTTAACTTTTTATTGCGCACGTCTTTCCAGCACACTGGCGGCCGTTACTAGGGATCCCGCG